ATTCATTTGAATCAGTTCTAATGAGATGGATGAAACTGGAGCCCATTATACAGAGCGAAGTAAGCCAGAAAGATAAAGACCATTACAGTATACTAACACATATATATGGAATTTAGAAAGATGGTAACGATAACCCTATATGCAAAACAGAAAAAAAGAGACAGATGTATAGAACAGACTTTTGGACTCTGTGGGAGAAGGTGAGGGTGGGATGTTCTGAGAGAATAGCATTGAAGCAAGTATACTATCAAGGGTGAAACAGACCACCAGCCCAGGTTGGATGCACGAGACAAGTGCTCTGGGCTGGTGCACTGGGATGGCCCAGAGGGATGGGATGGGGAGGGAGGTGGGAGGACGGATCAGGATGGGGAATACATGTAAATCCATGGCTGATTCATGTCAATGTATGGCAAAAACCACTACAATATTGTAAAGTAATTAGCCTCCAACTAATAAAAATAAATGAAAAAAAAAATAAAACCACTGTGTGTGACAATTGATAATAAAATCCCTGTGTCATGTTAAAAAAAAATATAGATAGATGAGTCACTTTGCTGTATAGTATACATTAGCATTGTAAATCAACTATATTTCAATAAGAGGCTTCCCAGATGGCACAGTGGTAAAGAATCTGCCTGCCAATGCAGGAGATGCAAGAGAAGTGGATTTGATCCCCTGGTCAGGAAGATCCCTTGGAGTAGGAACTGGCAACCCACTCCAGTACTCTTGCCTGGAAAATTCCATGGACAGAGGAGCCTGGTAGGCTACAGTCCATGAGGTTGCAAAGAGTCAGACATAACCGAGCACACATACATACTTCAATGAAATTTTAAAAATCCTTAAATATCTTTTTAATCTCTAGTTTAGATTTTATCAATCTTGGTACTATTGACTTTTTGGTCAAGATAATTGTTTGTTGGGGGAGCTGTCTTGTATATTGCAAGATGGTAACTGCATTCTTCATCTCTGCTTAGTAGATGTTAGTAGCACCCAGTTGTGACAACCAGAAATGCCTCCAGATATTGCCAGATGTTCCCTAGGGTACAAAATTGTTCCTGATTGAGAACCACTGCTATAGTTAAAGAGTATGATACTTCAGTAGAAGGTAGAATATAGGAAGTTGGTAAGTTTAACATGGGGACTTACACATAAGTTGAATTAACAGGCAGAGGAACTTTATTTGAACAAGCAGCAGCCATGGCATTTTAACTGAGAAGTTCTGAGTCTGGGTTTGGATGTTGTCTCCCACACCCTTCCCTCCTCAGCTTGAGAGGCCAATATCCTAGCTTCACTCCAGTCTTAACCGGTAGTGAGTGCCAGCTCACTGGAGGAGATAAACAGTTTTCTATTTGGCATTCTTGTCTAAATATATTAGGACTTTTTCAGGAACAAGCAACTTATTTGGAATTGTTTACAGAACTACTTGATGGTTCTGAGAAAAAAATATCCTACATGGGGCTACACCCTCTTCATTTTCCTCCCATGCTATGACCTCAGATAACTCAGAAAACTTTCTTTTGGCTTTCAGTTGAGGTGAGTTAATTGATTTACTTCATGGGCTTATTTCCTTCCTTACAGGAGTCTTCATTGAAGACCTTGCCCATTTTGGAGTGGCTGCATAGCCTAGGATGAATTTAATTTACAGTCTGAGACAATCTATTTACTTGGTGAGAAACTTGGTCTCAGCTTGTGGTTTGCTTTTAAAATATCTTTTAATAAATGAAGTTTTAAGAAATTGTGGCAAAACATACATAAAATTTACTTCTTTAATCATTTAAAAGTACAGTGCAGTGGCATCAGTGGCATTCACCATGTTGTGCAACCATCACCATCATCTATTTTCAAAACTTTTTTAGGACCCTAAACAAATTCTCTAACCATTAAATATAAACTCTCCATTTCCCCTCACCTCTAGCCCCTGGTATCCTCTATTCTATTGGGTTGGCCAGAAAGTTCCTCTGGTTTTTTACATTTTTCATTTTCACCGAGAACTTTAACGTATTCACTGTTTTGTTCCACTATCTTCTGCCATTTTTCAGGCAACTTCATAATTTCATCTTCCCAAAACTTTTTATCTTTTTGAGCAAAGAACTGTTCCAGGTACCTTTTACAGTCTTCCAGGGAATTGAAATTTTTTCCATTGAGAAACTTCTGTAAAGACAGAAATAAATGGAAATCCAAAGGTGCAATGCCTGGTGAATATGGCGGATGATTCAGAACTTCTCAGCCAAGACGTGACAGTTTTTGCCTGGTTATCAAAGAAACATACTGGAGAAGGCAATGGCAACCCACTCCAGTACTCTTGCCTGGAAAATCCCATGGATGGAGGAGCCTGGTAGGCTGCAGTCCATGGGTCACGAAGAGTCAGACATGACTGAGCGACTTCACTTTCACTTTTCACTTTCATGCATTGGAGAAGGAAATGGCAACCCACTCCAGTGTTCTTGCCTGGAGAATCCCAGGGACAGAGGAGCCTGGTGGGCTGCCATCTGTGGGGTTGCACAGAGTCGGACACAACTGAGGCGACTTAGCAGCAGCAGCAAAGAAACATACAGTCTTGCTTTATCCTGATGGAAGATTATGCATTTTCTAGGGATTAATTCTTTAGACCCTTCACTAAGTGCTGCCTTCATTTGATCTAATTGGGAACAGTACTTGTTGGAATTCATCATTTGGTTTTCCGGAAGGAGCTTATAAATAGAGGACTTGCTTCCAGTTCCACCATACAACATATCACCTTCTTTGGATGAAGACTGGCCTTTGG